CAACACTAGATAAATTAACTTTTTTGTGTTACTGGCTGCAGTTCTTGTATTTTTGCCAAGATTAGGCTAAAGCCCAGTGAAGGGAAAAAACCTTCTCATTGCTTTAATGTACTATAGTCTGGACAACTGGTTCATTTGTAACACAGTGACATAATACAATGATATCACTGAACTGAAGGGTAAGAGAGGAAAGAAATGGTGTGCCAGGAGCCACTTTGGTAATGTTTTGTATGCAACGTGCTGTCCAAGAAGGTGTATAATTAGCAGCACAGAGGGAGAGAGGAGTCACATTCAAGGAGCAGAGCATGTCAAAGTAGACACTCAAACCAGACAGCTGGAGAGGATGTTCAGAAGCCATGCCTTGTATCAACTTGAAAAAATTATGATGCACCAGGTAGATCTCATTATATCTTGTTTGGGGTTTTTTTCATTTTTTTTTCCCTCTCCTTTTTTTTTTTTTCTCTTTGGAAAGTGGGGGAGGGTAAGGAGTTTGCAGGTTTGATTTTAATTTTGTAATCAGGTTTAAAGTGGATTTCACTGACTTATTCCCACCTCACATGGTCTGGCAACAGACTGTCCGCTAGTACCCTGCCAGATGCAAGGTGTTTTGTTGCACTGGAAGTTACAGTGTAGTCCTGAGACAGCCACTGTCCAAAATACATGGAAATATTCAGAGAAGTCAGGCTATGTTGTTTCATTGTGCTACAAAGGCTGGTTTCAGTCTGCTAGGGCAGGATCTCCTACACAAAATAGCGCACCTTTGGCAAGGGGTAAAGGAAAATAATTTGCTCATGGCTTCAGAAGGATCTCACAAGAAACAGGCAGTCTGCAAGGCTGAGATTTGAGAGTTCAAAGTCAAACACAATGTATTATTTCCAAACAGTTGTTCCAGATTTGCAGGCACCTAAAGTCCCGCTGTGGCGTCCAGATTCCCTGGCAAGAATTCAAGTTTTTTCTCATTCATGACAGGAATGACTTCATGTCTTGCACACTGAGAGTGTTAGTTTAGCATATAAATATTTCTGTACCTGGTGTGGTTTCTGCTGCTTTTTGAGAAGAAACAGAGATTAAAAATACCTCATATCTCGTTGCTTATTGTTTTGGATCCAGTATTTTTCACTCTTTTCCTGATGCCTCACTGTGACCTGGCCTGAAGGTTGAGTCAGTCTGTTGGTGACTGGCTACCAAGGGCTACAACCTTCTGTCATATTTTGATTTTGGAGGATCCTCGTTTCCTGCCTAAAGAATTGAGTGCTGGGCTAAAATCACATCTATGCATTAACTCTACAGAGCACCTGATGCAAGACAGCCAAGCAGAATTTGGTGGGAGGGAGGGTATGTATAGTGCAGAAGCTGAGTTCTGATGTTTTGGAAAATAGTAGGACAACTGGAGCTTTTTGGGTTGCTGGGGGAATTGTTCCTGAGTAGACCAGGAGGATTTGTGTGCACCCTCTGCACTGAACTGTTGATGTCCCCCTCCATGTGCCCAGTGGTGCTGCTTGGGAAACCTTCAGAAGTCTCCCTAGTGCACAGCCTGCTGCTATTGTCCTGGCCAGTGAGACAGCTAGCGGCTCCCTAAATTGAGTTTCAGACCTCCTGAGCATGGGGATCTGTTCAGTGGCCACTGAACTGTGCAGAAGGGTTTCTTTCTTTATGCTAATGGTTTTATTTTCCCATACACTTTCCCATGCTGGTAGTTCTATTTTCTCAGCATGTCTGACTTGCGCCTTCTCAGTACCTCTGCAGGAACAAGTGCAGAAGCTAAACACATGCTTAATTGCCTCACTTATAAACTGTTTAAAATTCTTAGATAGCTGGATATAATAGATGTCTGATAGATTGGTTTTTCTGGTCTGCTAAAGCTAAAATAGCCTAACATTGGTCAGAGGTGGCTGGTGAGTTATTCTTCCAGTCCTGGGGAAGTCTGTGTTGTCGAGAATTTTCAACAACAAGCGTCACAAATTCCGGTGCTTCAGAGAGGGGACAATTCTCAGGTGAGAAAAGGAAAGGAGTGCTTATTGTGATGAATGGTCCTTCAGAGCACTAACTTGGGCTTACAATAGTGTAATTCTGAATAATAGCGTTGGTTCCATCCAATTCCCTCTTCATTCTTGTGCTTGGGAACAAGAAGTACATTCCTGTAGTTTATGGTTTCCTTTTTACATTTTTTTGCCACCTATGTGGGTATTTCAAACTCATGACTCAATATGATCATTGTGAGACAGCAGTTTTTCTTAAATCCCCCATCTTTTTCAAATGCTTGTAATGAGTACTAAAAGACTAATGCTGTTCAGACTTCTGGGTTTTTGCTTTTTTTCCCCCCAACCTGACTACAGGCAAGCCTCAGATTTGGAACATATTAGAGGTTTCTTCAAAATCTTATCTATAACTGGCATAATTATTTGCTCAGACAAGTCATGGCGAAAGACCAATCCCTAAGAAGAACCTCAGGCATTACACTGTTATTTTTAAGTCAAATCATGGAATGGTCCCCAAACCTTCACCATTTCACTTATTAGGTTTTTCTTCAAAAAATGTAAAGCTGCTGTGCACTCAGAGGAATAGAATTAAAGCACTTTGATTTTATTTAAACCTCAGTAACCATCAGCTCCTTAGTTACTAGGGGTGTGTCTGCTAAGAACAATGCTAAGAACCTGTCACTGTACTTTTAAGTGACTGTGATTTCAGATACAGAGCCAAGACAGGTAATTAACAAAATCGTGCAGACTGCAGTTGAGAAAAGTGCTAATATTTTACATGATCCACAAATGTGCTGCTTTTTCACTTAATTTCACATTCCTAGACAATTTTAGTCTGTAGTTACAAAGAATGGCATATGGATTGATTGTAGCTAATTTGTAAAGGCCCATCAGATAAAAGTTGTCCGGAATCTGCAAATTTATGTAAGTGTTGGTTAAACCTAATTTTCTCATAATTAAACCAGCTCAGTTTCTGGAAGGTTTCTAGAATCCATTTAACACACATTCCCTGATATTTTACCAAAACAATAACCTCATAAAATCTTAAAGCTTACTGATAACTTCAAATTTATTGAGGTTGTTAGTATAACTTTTGTGAAAAAACAGGTTGGAGGGAAACTTAATAAAAGTGCTGCAAGCAACAGCCACAGATGGGGAAATTTTTAAAGGTTAGAGAGGCTGGAGGTGGAGCTGCTGGCTCCTGCCCTGGAAAGTTAGAAGGAATCTTATCAGCAAGGAAACTTCCTCCTGCTCCTCCATGATCAATAGCTTTCTGCCTCTGCCCCATTTCAGCTCTCAGGAGAGATTACCTATCCTTGCACTGACAGCTTCGTGACCACACATGCCCCATGCTCCCTCCCTGTAGGATCCTGATAGACCTTTTGTCCCACAGACTTTGCCTTCTGCAGGAAAAAGCACCAAGGTATGCAGGTATTTTCACCCTGGGAGTGTTCTGGATATCTGTTCATCCAGGGTCAGGAGAGGCCATCAGCAACCCTTGGGCCATGTTCTCTGCCCCCTTCCAGGTCCTCCAAAGAATACAAATACTAGTAAAGTGTGCAGTTCTAGGCAAAGATCAGATGTATAGTTACAGAAGCGGGTCAGTGAAAGTGTCCAAACACCACAAAGACTTCTTGGTACTGCTGTACCATTCCCACTCTATGCCAACTGTGCCAAGCCCCTCTTACAGATCTTGTCATCTATCTTCCATGGTTAGAAGATAGCACACTTAGTCCAGGCTTAGTTGATAGTTCAGAAATACTCAGTTTTACTACCTTTTTCAAAGACTCTTCCTGCTTCAGAAACTATTTTACAACCACATTCGAAATTCCCCAGGCTCCTTGCCAGCAGTTACTGACCAGGGGAAAATTCTCCTTGTTCCTGGAAGTGAAGTTCTCATATACATATTGCCCTTAGACAGAGAAACTGAATGCATGAGTCGGTTTTAAAAAACCAAAATGCCTGTATTGTTTTATCACTCATCAGGATATACAGACTTCATCTGTGTCATTTGCTCAACTTGCTGCAGCAGTTCTGGGTGTGTATCTGCCAGCCCTGGTTTCTTCTCCCATTGCTGAGGATACTCAAATCTCACTTCTATAGGACAGTGGCTGCACAACAGTATCAGTGAGCTGAAAGAGTGCTTTGGTGTTGTGAGAGAATATTGATTTGGGAGAGAGTTCAGTTATTAGTGTGAAATATTATATTTGTCAAATTCTCAGTTAACAAGTTGCACAAGTTGCTCTTTACAAGGCTGATGTGTGATTTTCCCATACTTCCCATGCTGCTATGGGAACCAGTTTTGAAACTCAAGAGTCTCCACTCCAATCACAACTGTGGGTCAGGCAAATTCTAGTCTGAAAATTGGTTTGAAAGTTCATGTGTTTGGCTGAACAGAGGCAAGAAAGACCGGCTGAACAATCTGGGAGTGAGACATGAGCATTCATTTCCTGATCTGAGGGTTTGACTGTCTCAGTGGCAACTAAAGGCTTTGAGAGCAAAGAGGGATGTATAGATTGGTACCCTGAAGCTGGCAGGGTTGCTGTCTCTGCTGGGATGACTCTGGATGAGTGTGCTGAGCTGGGCTGACCGTGCGCTGCTGTTCTCCACTTTTCTTCACATCCTGTTCAAGGCTGTTTTATTAGACTAGAAAAACAGTTAAGTCTGACAACACAACTCTCTAAACTACATTGTAAGACAGAATAAAAGGGATTCCGAAAACACATCTATCCTTCACTCAGTGGGCCCTTAGAAGGCAGATAGATACAAGGCTTTCCTCTGCAGTTTCCTTGAGTCCCTCTAGTTTTCAGTCTAGGCTACTGCCTTGACTTTTCAACATCGCCTTACCTTCTGACCAAGTTTCCTCCTTACATCCTTGGTTTGATACAAAACCTGGCCTCTCTGGTTGCTGTCTAAAACCTTGTAGTGGGTTGGTTTCTTGGATTTTTAGGCCTTCCTTAGCAACGGGGTCAGGAATCTAAGGCAGTATTCCATATCATTTCTTTCCGTAACACAATATATAAAAAGGCGCAGATAAGAGAGTTCGCTCTCTTCTCTCTTCCAGTGGCTGAAGACGACAGGTCCCTCTCGCAGACGGTTTTGCTTGTACAGGCCAAAGCCTGCCTGCTCCAACCTACCCTTATCTCCAGTCTCTCCGGGAGGCATGGGGGGAGTTGGCTGCTGCCTTGCACAGCTCTGCTGTCCCGCTCAGGGAAGTATTTAATTTGTTTTTATATTTATTCATTAGCTCTCTATTAACGGGTGTATTTGGGAGGTATTTGTTTTTAGGTTTCTTTTTAGCCCTGTTTTCCCCCTCCCTTTTCCCTTTTTCCCCCCTCAGGAGCTCCCTGTTGAGTATAATATATTCAAATTGTATATGTAACTGTAAATATATGTTATATATATATATATATTTGATATAATCCCGTTTAGTTTGAACTTCTTTCAGTTTTTTTTCCCTGTGGTTCGTTGTTTTTTTTTTTCCTCACTTGAGGAGAGCGGGAGGGGGGAGGAGACAGCTTGGACTTGGCGGGAGAGCCAGGCCAAACTGATACAAACCTTTATGGGACCTATGGGATCTACCTCATGACTCTGTTCTGATCCTAACCATTTAGACAACAACCTGGCACTATGCTTTTCCTAGAAGCTTATAAGTGCTAAGCCATGGCTGGACCAGCTGGATCACGAAGCCATGCACTTTGCAAGCTCATCAGGAAAACGACTGATCTGTTCCGCCAGAGAACGTGCCCACGTGGGTGAGTAGTGATCAGAGGAGGTGGAGCACTTTGACACAAATTGCTCATCCAGGAAGAAAGGTAGTAGGCTGGAAAGCTGATTCCCTCACATCACCCTCTACTCTCCCTGGCGAGGCTCCAAAGAACATCTGAGCCTCTTCTGACATGAGCTGGGAGGAAGGTTGAGAAGGAAATCTGGGAAAGGCTACATGACGGAGAGCTCAATCCTGCAAATCCTGTCTGTGCCAAACAGGTTCCTTTCATGTATATGTGCTTTGTTACTCCCATAACAGATTTAAATCAGCTGGAAAAGTACCTTATGTACTAAACCAAGAGGGACCCAATGCCAGCGTGTAGGCAACTGAACAGTGCCCTGACTGTCCAGCAGCTTGAGTCTGAAGGATGCAAGCACAGCTCCCCTCTCTACATTTAATTACTTTCTTTTATATATATATAAAGTATAATGCATTATTCTTTTGCTGTCCTCTTCTACGGAGTGACCTTTATGCTATTTTAAACACTTTATTGGTAGGCTAAGCTTACATGTAAAATCGAGTCTGTAGTGCCTGTTCATGCTGTGTATCTTCAAATGCTGCAGTTACCAGCATTTGTGAGCTACATGCTTCTTCCATAAAATACCATACCTGTCTTCTGAGGGGCTTGTTCCTCCTTTGATGGACTACAGACCATCAAGTTCTGCTTCAAAATTAAGAGGCATCTGATTGCTTATTAGTCTTACTGTGAAGTTCTTTATGTCTTCAGTTACATGGCTACAGTACTTAGTGTTAATACTCCCCAGTATTAACACTGCATAAGAAGGTGGAACACTCCACAACAGAGTGCACATTGCTCCCAGGATTTCTAATTTTACATCCTCAGATTTTGTAGAGCCTCTCTGAGGGAGTCTCTCCAGAAATGGAGTCATGGGTAACCTGGCATTGCCATTTTGAGTGGATTTTGCAGCAGAGATGCAGAAAAATATTCACAGTAAGGTACCAGGATCATGTGGCTCTCCCTGCACCAAGGAACATGGAGACTTTTCAACAACAAACACTTGTTGGTTAGTGCTATGATCAGCTGTCATTTGCAGGACTTGAACAAAAATATTTGATGTCTGATTTCGCTGCCTTCAGCATTTCTGTATTATTGACAACATTTTTGTAAAATGTTGGGTCAGCTCCTAGAAACATCAAAATTCATGCTTGAAATGAATTCCACCCTGTTGTCACCTGTTTCCAGCTGTTTTCTGTGATTTGCCTGATTAGTATCCACTAGGAAGGCTGTCCTCCCGCTGAAGGTATTACCTGCAGGTGCAAGCACTGCCTTACGTTGAGCAGGCACAGGGTGTCTCTTCTGCCTCCTTCCACAGGAGATGCAAGTTGCTGTTGTGGTGGAGAGCACAGCTTGTCTTCACACCACCAGTCCTGAGCATCAACCCCAGGCCTCCACCACGCTGCCTAACTTGGGCTGTGGTGTTTCTCTTGTTAGGTTAAATGCCTCTTTATATTTTCATGGACTCGTTCCAAATGAAACTTCATTGGGTAATTAATAATATGGAGGGAGAGTTAAGCTTTTTAAGTTCTGCATGTTTTTCTGCCAATTATTCCATCAAAGACTGGATCGCTTTGTTGCTACAGAGCTTCTCAGCGAGGCATGACCTTGGTTTATTCAATAATACATGTATTTCTGAGAGCAACTTACATAAGTTGGCCTATCCAAACTTTGTCTTCATACCAGACTGATTTTTGACCATTCAGTGGCCATGTCAAATATGAAAGCAAACACTGAATAAAGTGTTCCCTGCTCAGTATCTGGGTAAGAGGGATGGGCAGCCTCACAGTGGCTGCACTTGTCTCTAAGCCACCATTGCTGCCTTTACTGTTTCCACTGAAGGTGCTGAAGCAGTCTCCTTGCAGCCTCTTGGACATCTTGCCACGTGCTGCATCTGCTGGCTTGGCCTTTGCAGGGCAAACAATAGATTTCAGCCTTCAGAGATGGCAATAGTGCTGCCTCTTGTGCTGGCGTGAGCTGTACCCAACAGTAGGGAGCTAGTGGGATCTGGAAGTTTCTGTTTTTTTCCATCTCCACCTCCTCCTCCTCCTCCCCTTCTCTGCTGCCTAGGATTTGGGGCTGCATGGGCTCTCAGTGACACAGGGCAGAAGGTGCATTCGCTGCCAGCAGGTTGTCTCGGGGGTACCTGCAACTCCTCTGAAACCGCTTTTACACCACGTGCAGGGCAAGTCCCTCTGTACTCATTACAGCAAAGCAAATCTGTGAGCTTTAAATCTCAGAAGTAATTTCCATAACATCATTTCTGCAGCAGCTGGTTTCCATGGAAACCAAGAAACGACTGGCAGCGTGTATAGTAAAGAAGACAGCTGACCTGATTGTCCTTCCCTGGCCCCTGCGGCCGGGCTTCCCTCCACTTGCACGGGCACATCCATTGCTCATTGCCATGAGGTGTACAAGACCAGGTGCAAAGGCTTCAGCTTGTTGCACCAGCAGCAGCCTGAATGCAGATGGGCTGCTGCCCCTCCTCCTCATCCCACTTCATCCTGCCTCTCAGGGCAGCTTGTCCTGTAACCAGGGGAGGAGGGCAGAGGGAGGAAGGGTCTGTAGATGTCTTCACACACTCTCGCACCTCTGTATCATTCCCAGGCCCAAGCAGTGATGGAAGGACTCATGGTTAGCTTTGAACGTGCATGTGCCCCTTCCTTTTTGGACCTCTTACCCATTACTCAACATATTTTGTTGACCTATTTATTCCACTGCTTCTAGAATATTCCTATAGGTTAACTTGTAAAAGATGTATATTTTTGAATATCAGCCCTATATGCATGGCACCTAATTTACAAATATTCTTGGAATTCTTCCTAACTACTACCAGAAATATCTATTTTCCAGGTGAAGGTTCCCTTACCTGTGGTGTTCCTTAAGGAGCTGCAAACCCATGTCACACTCTTCAATAACTACCAGTTTTGTCTGTGTGTTTGGGCAGAGAGAGGGAACTTGTCTGACTCAGGCTCAGCTGCAGCTTTTGGTTGTTTTGTTTCTTCAATCACTGCAGGCACCAGCATGGAGTATATTACTTAAAAATGTTTTAATTTTAAAAGCAGCTTTTGCCTTTGGCCTGAAAAGTCACTTAAAACTAGAACAATTGTGTCGAGGCAGCTTCTGAAGTGAGTAAAGTGATGCCATGGGGAGGGGGGAACCAAGATGGAGCCCTTGAAATCCTTTGCTGTGTCTCTGGGAGCCCATCCTGCCCATCTGAGGGCTCAGTGCTGTGTGGCACTGGCCTGGTTCCCTTTGCAGGGCATGCTCTGTGTCCCTGCAGCACCCCAATAGCAGCAACCTTGCAGACAATGTGTCCTGTGGCTCTTGTCCCAAAAGCAAGTTGCTGTTGCCATTGGGAAAGGAGCACCAAGAGAGCTTATGTGGGCTTCTCAGACAGGAGGGCAAAGGTTTCCTTGTTCTGAGGTCATCATGGAAGAATGATGTCAACAGAACAGGCTTCCACAGTTGAAAAACTACAAGAACTGTTAATAGAGTACTTTGGCCTCACCAGCTACCAATGGATATGGAGTTTCTAATGTTTTTCACAGACCAGCTTCTCAAAGTCAAGGCAGCAGTCACCAAAGGTGCACTTTTAGGGTGGGGGTTCTTTCCTATAAAACTGAAATATTAAAATATTTGAAGGTGATCAGCTGAAAAGTAACCTACTGCAGCACTTTCCTCCTGTTTGCAGACATGGCTTAAAGACAACTGTTGTATTGGGCCAGAAAATCACCTCGGAGCCTGTGAGGAGGGAGCGAGCTTTTCCAGACTACCAGGGATACACTGCAAAGGCTGCCTCTGGTGGACATTAAACAAGAGCCCATTTCTGGGGGGGGAGTTGCTTCTGCTTCAAGACATTCTCAGTAAACCTCTCCAGAAGATATGGAGGAAGTAGTATAGATTCGCTCGTGACACAGTCAGGGAAGTTTATGACCAGTAGGGTTACCTGAGTAACCCTAAAAAAAGCAGATCCTCAGAGACCATTTCGGAAGTTCAATGTCTGTGGACAGAGTGAGGGAGAAAAAGATGACTGTCAGGAGCTAATTGCTCCAGATGTACTATACATATAGGTCATGTTACAGGCCAGGACTGGGAAGATGCATAGTCTAGCTCTGAATGAATTCCCATTTGTACTTAGTTTAATTATGCAGTATTAGTTTATTATCGATAAATAATGACATGCCAATATAAAAGCCTTTTTCCCCCCCCTAATTTGAAGACAATCTCAGCAATATTAGCACTAATGATTACATCTTTGAAGCTCAATGCAACCTGGAGAGGTGCTAGAGGCTCCCTTTCTCTCTGAAGGTTGCATTGCAGGTTCCCACTCCATGCTCATCCATACTCTCCAAAAGCATGGGGCGAGTGTGGCATCCCTGGGTGCATGTCTTGGTGTGGCATTTCACTGGGGGAGCGTTTGTGCAGGGAGTTGTGGAGCAGAGGCAGCACTTTAGGCCACAGAGCCTGTCCTTTCTTTAAACCTTTTAAAATGCACAGAAGCCACAAGGCTCCTAGAAGGGCAAAGCAGCTTATAGAAAGCAATTGCAGAGATGAGAGCATCCTCAAAAGCTGGGCACTCCCTGAGTGTTCCTCTGCCCTCGGCTCCAAAGTGCTGGAGGGAAGAGCCAGCCCAAGCAGCCTCCACTCAGCCAGTCACGCTTACTATCATCATTTCTTGTTCAGTGCTTTTTCTAAACTTTCCAAGTCTCTCTGACATAAAAAACAATTGACCTTTACAGTTGTATTTGAGCCAGCTACACTGCCATCAGCTCTTGCTGGTCCTCACTACTCTGTTGATGTTTGCTTAATGGCATGTGAATTAATTTGTTGGAAGCTGACACTTTGCTGCAGGATTAGTTAGAGAGACTAACATAGGGCTGGTGCAGGGAATTTAAGATGCAGAGCATCTTTTTGAGGTAAAGAAAAAAAGGAGGCAAATTCCAATTCTTCTGGAAATCTTCACTTTTAGGATGCTAGAACTGAGTAATGAATGAGCCAAAGTACAGAATTAAAATAAACTCAATTCCAGCTATTTAAAGGCTCAGCAATTCCTTCCAGGCAAAAAACAAGTAGCTATTGTGTGCTGGCACTGGGAAGGCTGGGGGAAGGCAGCGTTTCCCACAGGCAAATTAGGAGTGGGAAAACCAGAACAAACCCCACAAACCTCCAAAGCCCGAGTAAGGAACACAAGACATTTTCTGTTCAACATGATTTGTGTTGTCATTAGGTGGGTTTAATGGGGCTTTATTCTTATTCTATGAGGAAAGTCCTGGCTCTGCTTGAGCTAACAGTATTGACCATTCAGACCTGGGAAACATGAGGTAGCCAGCTGAAACCGCATTCACCATGTCACTCAGGCACCCACTGGGAAGTGGGTCTCCTCTGCCCCCACCTCTTCCTGCTGCGGGAGTCTGGACACGTTTCACTGGAGCCTGATAAAAACCTGTCTGTGCCCTGTTTGGCCAGGGGGTGTCTGACTCACGTCACTTACCTCACTGCAAAGGAGGGCCCATATTGACCATCAGCCACGCTGGGACCACACCAGAACTCCACAAAAGGTGCATTTTAACCCCACCCTGCTACTGCCCCAGTCACCTGAGGCAGAAGACAAGGCTGGCATCATGGATGCAGGAAAGGCTTTTCTCATCTGAGATGGCTTGAACCCCTTCCTACCCCTCCACTCAAGCTATGGTGAGCCCCTAGCAGGAACAGTTCAGCAACAGTCCTGGCTTCTTGAATTCCAGTATTTGGGCGCCTTGTTTCAGGCTGTGTAAAGGTGAAAGGGGATAAAGAGTTAAGAAAGGCTCCTTAAAAGGAAATCATGAGTTGAAACCCATGAACAGCTCCTGCGGGGCATGCATGAAGTCCCTCTCCTTCACCTTTGCCTCATTCAGGAGACTCCTTTCACACAACCACACAGGCTAGAAGCAGCACACCAGGTAACCAGCAAGTGCAGCAAACTTTCTGCTTTTGGGATTCCAGGATCAAGACACCACTTTGCAAAGACTATGAAGACTGCTGGCCACCCATCTTCCACCTGCAAAAGGAGCGGTGTTACCTTAGTACTACTTGTCCCAGGCTGCTGCTCAGAGATGGACAGGGATGGAGAGCCACTCTGGTGTGAGCCATGTCCCTTTCTAAGGAGACATGGAGATAGATGCAGCCCTGTCATCCCCAAAGCAAGCTAAATCCACACTAGTGCAAGATCTAACATTCCTTTATGGTCAGATCCTATTTTTAGTTTGCTGCACCCTGACTTTACTAGACCAGATCATGGGAGAAATACAGGATTCCTACTCTAGCCCAACAGGAATAGGAGTTGCCAGCGGAGCACAGCTGCTTTTCCAAAGAACTGCCATGGCCTCCCTGACAAGTTGTTACATTGACAAGTTTGAAGGGTTTTTTTATGATCTGATTTAGATCAAACCACAGGGTATCAGAGCGAGTCAGGAACTGTCCACTAGCCATTTTCATTGCACTATATGAAGTACTGTGGAAGAATATATTTATTTTGGGGGTGTGATAAAACTAAGGTGTCTTAGCCACAAAAAACACCTTTGCCTGTTGAGAAGCTGTTCCAATGACAAATCTGTCATGTACTTCTGCACACCTGAAGAAACTTTTAGAAAATAAAATTTTCATTTGAAACATTTTTGTTTTCTTCAAGAGCAGCTCAGTTAAATTCAGCCACTCACCAATTAACAAACAGTTAGAGTTATGATAATGCAGTATGTATTTTTGTATATTGATCACCTTCCTAGAAGTGGATAGGCACTCTTGGCCATTGGATGCCAGAAATGAGTTTATCTGGAAGTCAGATTAGTTTTATTTGATGAACTCTTGCCAAGTTTCCTTTCAATAGGTTACAAGTTCCTCAAACTCCCTTGCATCTTTGTTAGTGATTAGGGTCCCTTTTAGCAGTCAGAAAAGGGAACACACCTGTGTCTGGACAGCTTCTCCAACAGGTCATGCTCTAGCCAATCTTCATTAGCCATGCACACAGCGATGCCAGGCTCAGCACGCAAACCACAGCAAAACACATCCCTTTCCCAGTGTAGTGGGTTTCTGTGGCTGGGTTTTGCTGGCAGGGGGGCTTACTGGGGTGGCTTTTGCTAGAAGCTTGCCCTGTCCCGTGGAGCCAATGCCAGCTGGCTCCAGGATGGACTTCCTGCCGCTGGCCAAGGCCAAGCCAATCAGGAGTAATAGTAACGCCTCTGTGATAGCATATTTAAGAACAGAAGGTTGTGGTGCAGGAAGAATTCCAGCCAGGGAAGAGTGGAGTGAGAACACGTGAACAACAGTGTAGACACCAAGGTCAGTGCAGAAGGAGGGGAAGGAGGATCTCCAGGTGCTGGAGCTGAGGCCCTGCAGCCCGTGGTGCAGCCCATGGTGGAGCAGCTGTGCCCCTGCAGCCCATGGAGGACTATCAGGGTGCAGAGACCCACCTGAAGCCCATGGAGAAGCCCTGGCTGGAGCAGCTGGATGCCCAAAGGATGCTGTGACCCTGTGAGAGGCCCAAGATGGAGAAGGGTTCTGCCAGAAACCTGCAGCCCGTGGAGAGGGAAGCTCACACTGGAGCAGGTTTTTCCCGCGTGATAAATGTGGCCCCTGTAGAGGACCCACATCGGTACAGCTCATTCATGAAGGACTGCACCCCATGGAGAAGCGACCCACGGGACAGCAGTTTGGGAAGAACTACTGCCTGAGGGATGGACTCACGCTGGAGAGGTGCATCAAGGACTGTTTCCGTGGGAGGGATCCCAAGGGAGCAGGGGAAGGACTCGTCTCTCTGAGCAGCGGCAGAAACAACTGACTGCAACCCCCATTCCTCATCCTCCTGCACTGCTGGGGAGAGGAGGGAGAACATGGAACGAAGGGTGGGGGGAAGGTGTTTTTAAGATTGTTTTATTTCTCACTCTTTGGCTCTTATCCTCTTAGTAATAAATTTAAGTACTATCCCCACTTTGAGTCTGTTTTGCCCATGAAGGTAATCAGTCACTGACCTCTCCCAGCTCTTATCTCAACTCATGAATTCTTAGCTGTTTTTTTTTTCCTCTCTCCTTTGTCCAGTTGCAGAGGGAGAGTGAGAGAGTGGCTTTAATGGGTACCTGGTATCCGGCCAGGGTCAACCCACTACACTCAGCTGTGGGGCAAGAGAGGTAGGAGCAGCACCAGCTTGGAGAGCACTCCCATTTATCAATGCCTTCAATGGGCAGAGAAGTCTCTCTCCTGTTAAAACACATGCACTCACCTGCCCTTTGCAAATTCCAATGCCAACACCTCTGGGTGTTGGCAAACACTGTGCCAGAGCTTGGGAAAGTTTGAGGAACAGGCTGTGCCAGTTAGCTCTCCGTGCAGCTGCTCCACAGCACCACACAGCCAGTGTGGCTGCAAGGAGCAAGCCAGCTCTGCTGCCCAGAGCAACCACAGCTTTAAACAGAGGTGCCACCACCCCACAGGTTCTGTCAGGCTGCAACCCAACTGCTGAGCGGCCCTGCCCAGGAAATAGCTTGGCAGCTTTTTAATTCAAAGCCAGGGGAGTTTCTCCAGTCTGGGTCAGCACTGGGCTGTGCACCAGTGGTGCTGCTGCCACAGGAGCAGGCACAGCACAGGCAGCTGTGGCTGAGGCTGGTGTTGCCATTGGTACTTCCCTGAACTCTGGGTACTTCTGCTCTGCTCAGAGGAACTGGCAGGGCACAGACATTACAGACCCCACATACCTTGTGGCTCCTCAGTCCACTGCAAATCCAGACCACAGAGCCGGGCTTTCAAGCAAAGCTGTAGAATGTGGCACATAGTACCTGCAACGTATCCCAAGGACAGTGGGGTGTCTGGATACCCCAACAGATGTAGTTAGTACACCAAATCTAAACACATTTTGAATCTAGTCTAATGGAAACTAGTGGCTCTTAATAACGCCTCAGACAAACCAAACCACAGCACCTGATGCTCATGTCAGCATAACAGCCTACAGCTTAACTATAGGAAACCCCTGGATAGTTTTACTGTCCTTCAAAACCATCTTTCTAAACCAAAGATTAGCTTGGGTGGCACTGCCAA